TGTAATTGTTTTTTACTTTTTAAATTCTTGTTTTACAGTAAAGCCTTTCATACAAATAACAGGACATAGACTGAAGTTGTATTTATTTAGCCAGACACAATATGCTTTTGTTGATTTTGGTTGATCTGCAGAAACATCAAGAAGCATGTTGGCGCTTTGATCATGAAAGTTATTAAATTAGCCGTAGCAAGGAGCTGGTGTCTATATTGTACTACAGTTGAATGTGTTAAAATATGAATGGACTGCATTTATTTAGTGCTTCTCCAGTCAGTGTGACCCCTCACAGCACTTTTACATTCACTCATTCACACACATGCATGCAGAGGCAGAGGCAAGTTCACTTGCCCGAGGAAATGAACATTCACACACATTCATGCACCAGTCTTTGCCATGTTGACTGCTGCGATCAGCTGGGATTGAACCCCCAACCTTATGATTGGAAGACGACCACACTACCTCACAGTCACAGCTGCAGTGGTTAATGCCGTGTTTATTGGAATAGATTTTCACAGGTGGTTCGAAATGCATTGTTTTTTAAGTGAAATTCTTGTTTCAGTTTTACAATTTTAGAAGACAAATGACTTTATGCTCAATTAGTGCTGCACGATTAATCGAAAAAAGATCGTGATCTCGATTCAGACACCTATGCGATCTCATTTCTAAATTACGGCGATCCTATGACGTCATGCAGATTTTTTTTTAACATTTAAAAAAAAAAAATGTTTTATTATTTTGCTTCTGAATAATACCAACTTGCAATGTCAATCATACTTAAACGATGTAAAGCAAATATACTCTATACATGTAACATTAAAGTACCATGATCGCATGCAAATGGTAGTGTTGTTCTGTCTGTCTCTCCTCCTCATGCAGTGTTAACGCTGCAGCCACTAGTGTTGCCAGTTTTTGCGGAAGGAATAAGCAACCAGGTCTATGAAAACAAGCGCAAAAGAACCTGAGCACTTTAAACCTATATATGTCGGGTCGGCTATTTGAAAATAACCTATCTACAAGCTCACAACCGCAACAACCATTATTACTTACTACCAAGCAACTTTACAGAAAGATAAGCCCAATGTGGCTTATAATAAGTATACCTGGCAACACTCACTGACTGCAGCACGTGAGGGCAGGAGCCAGCAGTATGTTTACAGAAGCGTTAGCATTAGCACTGATTAGCAAAGAGTGACGAGAGCGACTAGTAGTACAAGAAAAACAGAAATGAGTGACACAGAAATGAGTGACGAGGAGGTCGAGGACAATGACAACAACACCGATGAAAATCCCGGTGGCGACTCTGGCGAGAGTGAGAGGGAAGTTGTGCTTGTGCCGAAAAAAGGACCACATTCATCCAGTGTGTGGAACTTTTTTGGATTTGATCCTGATGATGACTTACAAAAAGTCGTCCACTGTAAGCATTGTTCTCGCATCGTCGCAACGACGTCAGGTAACACCACAAACCTATTAAATCACCTGCAACGTCACCATCAAATATTTTTGTTACAGTACTCACGTGACGTCTAAGAGTAAGAGTGCAATAAATATTTTCATTGAAACGATGAGAATCGTGTGAGAATCGTGATCTCAATTCTTATGGAGGAAAATCGTGATTCACATTTGAGCAAGAATCGTGCAGCACTATGCTCAATGCCATGGCACATGTTCACACATGATCTTTTGGACACATCCTGATGGCACCATATGCAAATGTTCTTGCGGGTCAAAAGGCGAAGTGGCCAGGACTGGAAGGCAGAGAAATGTCAGATATTTAAACATGTTTGACAGTTGAAACCATCATTGACCTTCGAGGGGGCTTTAACTGGCTGCAGGGATTGAGCAGTGCAAAAATAATCCTCCCCTGTCAAACGTCACTCAAACTCAGCATAACACAAATCATCATCCAGCTTAGTTTCCCTCCAATTTCAGGATAGGCGGAGAGACTCGTGGAAATTGGTATGTTAACCGGCAGCCATGAAATCTGTGAATTTGTTGGACTACAATAGAGATCAAACAGAGCTGGATTTGTGTGATTAAGCATCCTTGAAGCCTGTTGATGTGAAAAGCTGTTCTTACACCTCCATTCTACGGGAGTAAGGACATGTTGGGGGACTGGTTGCTAGGTGGCAGGGGTGACAAGGGGTGAGGGGGGGAGGCAGAGCAGGCAAGCTAATCAGAACAAGTCTAGATCATAGAATATCATCCAAGGACTTCTTGTTGGACTTCGAATGACACTGACCTTCTACGAATACCCTTAATTATGTGGGATGATCTCTTGAATAAAGTCCTCAATCAAAGTCACAGACCCCCTACTAAGAAAGCCTTGGGTGTTATATAAAATAAACATTAACTCTGTTACTGGAGATGTACAAATATGTAACAGATTAAAGGCACAGCCCACTTCTTTTAAGTGGATTTATTACCATGTGTGAGGGGTTATGAACGTGTCACGACACCGGGTCAAGCAGAGTGATGATCACAAAGGCAAAGTTGACATTTTGCTTTCAGTCTAATCTTGCTTTTATAGTGTCTGGCTTAATTTGGCATTAAAGAGCTGCTGTACTGGGTAGAAATAAACAAAAAGTCAGATTAGAGCTAAGGTTTGGATACAAAAGATGTAAGGGGGGGGGAGAGTCAAACATGATGTGACACCACAGTCAGTCTCAGCTCCAGCAGGCTGAATGCGTGCCGAGCATTGAGTTTCCCAACATGTTTTCAAAGCATTCAGATAAAGCACAGGGGAGGCAGGCATGGAGCCCATTACCCTGCTACAGTATATCCTTGGGAAAGAAAGACAAATATATATAGCTTACACGCTATATCTGTAAAATATGTGATTTGCTTTTATCTGAAATCAAAGAGATGCTCACAAATCTATTAAACGCCACCTTTTGTTTTTTAATAATGCATCATCCTGGGACCAAAGCCAGCTTTTCAAGCAAAATGTAGACTTTTGTTCTGAACAAATATAATTAGATTTATTTTGAAGATACTCTGTGCAATGTTGAAGCTAATTTGTATTTAGTAAAGTACAGTCCTTGATGAGATATTCCCAGAGGCTGGGAGGCCCAGTTTGTATTTTCCACCAGCATAAAATCCTTGAATTAAAGAAAACTCGAGGGCCTTGCACTTTCCAGAGATTGTCGACGGCAGAACGTATTGAGATTAGAACGGATGTCTCTGTAGCATTGACTGCTCTTTTCTGAGAGATGACAGTACTTTGTCATTCTTCCCAGTCATGTACATTTCTATAAAAAGGTTTAACGTTGTTCAATGCATTTGAAGGCTTGAGGCCAGGCCTATGACAGTCTCATTCTGCTCTTGACATGATTAAATGTAATGCCTTTTAAACTTATTATAAATATGTTTAGTGGGTATTTTATTAAATGTGATTTATTGGTACACCTACGAAAGTGTTTGAAAATGGACGATGAAACACAAATGATACCAGACAGAGGTAGACAGAAGCCAGGTTTCAATCCAAATGTATCTCAAATATTAACAATGAAATGTAGTTATTTAATAAAAATAAATATATAAAATATATTATATTTTTGTATTATATCATACAACTGCAGTAGAAGAGAGCGCACCAAAATGCCGTTATTAAAAGAGAGCAGTCAAACCTCCAGCAATGAAAAGCAATAGAGAAAACATATGTATTTTAATGTCCAAATGATGTGCATACATCATAGATAACATTTTGAGTCCGCTGTCACAGGCAGATTCTATCAGCTGTAGTTAGCCCTCCTGAACATCTTAGTGAGCGCTTTGAAAACACTGTCTCCGGCTGACTTCATGTTATCTTTTGAACAAGGAACCTCTAAAGGGGTCTTAAATACAGTGGGCACTTTGACATCCACATTGATAGCAGACCTGCAGACATTGATAAAGCTGCATGTCTCAGGCAGTCAAATCATCATTTGCTCTTACATAAGCAACGTTGGCTTCTTAGCTTGCTCACACCTTTGATAGATTATGACAGTTGGACATATTCCATATTTCCAGAATTAAAGGAAAATTCAAACTAACTGCAAGTAATAGGGTTAGATTAAAAAAGCTAAGTGGGTTCATGTATACAGTACACATACATATGAGCAGCTGTTTATGAGACAAATTAAATTGGACGGTGAAAACCCCCAACAGAGAAGTCTTTCAAAAATTCATAAAGGTTAAAAACAGTTTATTGTGCTCATCTCAAAGGACGATGTCAAGCAGCTCCTCATTGCATGGCCATAGTATGCTGCACATATGTATGCATACTGTACACACAAAGAGATCAGACCATACTGCACACTTGCAATACACCCTCCCCCACCTGCACACACACAAACACAGATCTCTATTTGATCTAATAGTCTATGACAAATGACGTGCCATACTTGGCCACACAGCTCATACTGTGACCACCTCTGCTTTGAAACGTTATAAACAGGTGGACTGATGAAATGATTTCAGTGGTGCTGATGTTGTACTAAAGTAAACCAAAGCTTTTTATTTACCTTCAAATTCTACATACTCAAACTATCAACTAAAGGACTTGAGTAGTGAATGAAGGACAGAGTTTTGCATAAAAGAGTCTGAAATGAGTTGTCTTCCCATGGTGTCTGGGCTCAGTCTTTCAGTTAGAGGAGCTGAAATATCCCAGAGAGGTTTGAAGACTGCTACGCTTTCCATTTAACAAGAGCAGGTTGAGGTGGTTCAAGTACCCAATCTGGACGGCTCACACACTCCTCCCTGTGGAGGCATTCCAGGGATATCCAATTGGAAAGAAGCCCCAGGGCTACACTAGAAAGAGCTGGAGGGATTAACTATCCAAACTGCCCTGTGTACGCCTCGAGGTTCTCCAGTAGGAGTTGGGAGCCAATGTCGCCATTTTTGAGAATGGAAAGTAGCCCAAAAATATAAAAAAAGGACGCCAGAATAAAAGAGGGAAGGTTGAATATGGTTGACTGTTGCCTAAAACTCTAAATATGTTTTATGTGGGATGAAAATGTTCTTACCTTTGGTGGAACAGCTGGTCCAGCAGTGTAGGGAGCCAGGCTTGGTGGAACATCTGTGATGTAGGTCTTTCGGGGGTCTTGGGCGGGGGCAGGCTCAGCTCTCCTGGAGCTTAAGCCACCTACTTGGTGAACTCCTGGATGGTGCTGATCTTGATACGCACCCTGGGCCATCTGGGAGAAGCCAGGCTGTGGTGGTCCATAGGCAAAGTCAGGGCCTTTGGGCTGGGCAGGCATGTACTGCACCTGTGCAGGGCTGCGAATGGGTTGCTGGCCGAAATGCTGCCCTATCGGGGCCTGATGCTGGGGGCCGGGCTGGGCGGACCTCACCTGGACATTGAAGGTGGGCTGGCTCGGGGTGGAGGCTGTGGCGTAGGAGGCTGGGACCGGCTGAGGAGCTGTTTGGATTTGAGGCTTGGTCACCGGGCTGGCAGAAGAAGGGAGGGTAGACGAGCCGCCCCCTGGTGCCTGAGGTTTGGGTGTAGATTTCTTGGTGGCAGTCAGAGGTGGCTGGGTTGGAATGACCATACGCTTGTAACCAGTCACTGGAGCGTTTGGGGTGGAGGGTGCAGACGGGACAGAGTTCTGAAACACAGCACAAGAGTTTGGCTCTGGTTAAACAAACAGCCGGAGGACTACATTTCATGAAAAACACATCGCACTGTCTGGGCTGGAAATAAACATCTATGTACAACTAATCTAAAGAAAAACTTTGTCAGCATGTCAATAGGCTCACAAGGTAATTCCAAAGATTTTACGATGTTCATCATCACATGTAATCATTATAATATTGGCTAATAAGGAATAAATACAAAGCATTGCTGAGGCTGATGGGAATGTTATTAGTTGTACAGATATTTGGTGATAAAGTATGGAAGATCTTAATATGTTGACTTGATGATGATCCTTGATGAAAGTCAACGATCACCAAAGTAATAACAATTCATTATTGTGTGTCTCGAAATACATGACAATCCTTCCAAACATCGTTGAGAAAATCTCACTGAAAAGCATGAATGTCCTAACTTTCATAGAATCCAATCGTGTGGTTAGTTTCAGCCCGACAGCTCAACAGTGTCATCCCTGGAGCCATGCTGCTAGCAATAGGCGCATTCACACCGCAGTACTTTTCCTGCAAAGGTTCATGAGAACTTAGTTCATGAAAGCTCTTTAGTTCTCATGAACTAAGTACAGATCGCGTTCACACCGGAATAAGTCCCTGGGGGAGGATTAGGCAAATGAAGCCGCTGACGTCACTTCTTCTTCTTCTGCTTTGGGTTTACTGGCAGGCCGCAAACCACTTCACGGCGTATACTGCCGCCCAAAGTCCCCGGCCGGAAGTCCCCGGAGTTGGGGAAGGCTTCAGTAGAAGCTGCTGGGAGTCCCAGCAGCTTCTACTGAAGCCTTCCGAGTAAATCGCCAGAACGCCGACACCTCCTCATCTCCACCGCTCCCATGTTTTATTTTGTGTTGCCATAAGTTAGTCTCTCTGCGTTTCTGCGCTGGGCTAATGCTAATGCTAATAATGGAATGCGAGGATAATAAAATGGCGGCTTCACAAAACTTTTTTGGAGTTTTATGGGGCGTGGTTTGCAATCCGCCCAGCCAATCAGACATAGGAACCTTTTTCTCCTACGAAAGTCCCTGCTCTCTAGCAGGGACGGAAAAGGGGGTGAAAAGGTTCTGATGAACTAATTTTAGTTCCGGCTCTTTTTGGTGTGAACGCGACATTTCAGAACTATATCGGAACTAAAGTGGGAAAAGTACTGCGGTGTGAACGCGGCTATTGATGAAAGCACAACAGGACCAACTGAAAACAGTTGCATTGAACCGCTATTTACTGATACAGTGGTTTACGCTCAAATGATTATCCACCCTGCCGCCCCAGAGCCAATTACAAGGCTACCTCGATAGCAGATGCTCTAGTCTACACCAACCACAAGAGCCCATCATCTATGGCTAATAAAGCCAGAGAGGAAGGGATAAATTGTTTGGTAGAGGACGCCATGACAGCAGATTGGCAATGGCACTTGACACTTGTGCTGACTCCAGCTGCTTGGACAGGAAGGATGTTAAATCACTGAGATTTGTGGCGCTGGTGTTCCTGGGAAGAGACGGCTGTAAAGCAGCAACACAAGCCACTGCAGGGATTGTCACCATCTGAACAACTGTGGCATTTTGATCTAATGTTCAATGGTTACATTTAATGCAAAGGCCAAACTAATACAGGATACAGCAGCGAGTGTCTCACAGAATAACAACGTTTCACTCTGATGTCAGAGGCTTCTACCCTAAGTGTCTCTCATGTAAGTAATAATTGTTTTTCACTACCACTACATATCGGTGTCAGACGTTCAGCCAGTCTAAAAAGGGTCTTTCATTAACCTTGGATGGCCTTATTAGGTTACTGCCTGAAGCCAAACAAGCTGAGTCAATTACTAAATTTACAGCACTTCGGGAACAAAAGTGAACACTTGTAGTCTTTAGACCTTTTGCAACTCAGTTTGATGGGGTGTCTTCTAAATTGGGGCAAAGCAACAATTTCAATTGATTTCCCTTAAAGGTTTATCAAAGCATGCTGCACAGCATTGCCCCATATAACTGTGTGTTTCTGCACTGCTGCACTACATTAAGAGACACTAAGAGACACTTTAGTTTGAATTGAATCAGTAGAAAAGTATGAAGTACAATTCTGTGATCCTCATAATGTGTTGAGATAAAAATAAATCAGAGTATTGGTTAGAGGTGCATGCATGAACTTTGTCTAAATCCTATCTAATCAAAGTCAGAGGGGAGCCCTAAGGGACCATTCAAAGCTCCAGAAAATATGCTCTGCTCTCACTCTGATTCCTGTCTCAGTGATTAATGCTGATGTTAATTTGAAAAAGTGTGTCTGTCTGCATATGTATGGAAAATCTCCTCGATGCCCTTCAGGAAGTAAAATTACTTAATTTAAATGTTTCATGGGTTTTAAATACTCTAGATTATTAATTTATCTTTAAGGCCTTAAAACCTACAGTAGCATTTAGTTAGCAAAGCAGTGGAAATGCAAATTGGCCCTGTGAAAATAATTACACTGTCATGGTACATTTTCCACAAATTACATAAAGAGAATAGATTCACGCCTTTCTGAGGGTGATGAAACTAATAAATAAATAAATGTCTATATTATGGCAGGAACCTGAAACTATATTGGTTTAACAAGATCCTTATCATAACCAAACAAGAACAACAAGATTTTTCACATTATTTTGACCGATTTTTATACCAAATTCAAAATCTTTACTAAATATGTTTTATTTGGTTATAACACACAACATACTTTTCCCTCATCTTAATTTAAAAACGTGGTGTGTTGTTAAAAAAAAGCGTTTATACTTATTTGTGTTGGTTTTACAACTAAGATCTATTTGGCACAAATATATAAAATCATATCCCAATTTATTTCCACTGATAGTTGATACAATGTGATATTGCATAATGCCAATAACGATTTGGAATGATTTCTTAATGATTTCATAATGAAAAGGCTTGTTATCATGCACACATAAATGAAGACTCCATATTTTATTATTTTATAATTGCGCTCAGTTCAGCGGAATATGTTGGTGGTTCCTCGGTGCAGGAAAAAAACCAGAGGTGACAGGGCTTTCAGTGTTGCAGCTCCCAGACTGTGGAACAGCCTCCCAGCACATATCCGGACTGCTGAGTCTATTGAACTTTTTAAATCCCAGCTAAAAACTCACCTCTTTGCACTGGCTTTTAATACTAGTTGAACATTACATTTTTATATTTGTATGTGTTTTTTATTTATTTATTTTGTATATGTTTCTAGTTATTGTGCTTTTTATTATGTTTTTAATTATTGTTTTATTATTGTACTCCCATTGTGTTATTTAATATTGTAGTTACTGCCTGTACAGCACTTTGGTCAACTGAAGGTTGTTTTAAATGTGCTATATAAATAAATAAAGATTGAGATATAATCCACTAAAGTCTGCTTGTGAACCCAGTTTGTGTCTGGAGGTCCGAGCTCAGATAGAGCATCGTACAGCGGTGGGGTCTCTAACCCCCGCTCCACACACACACACTTTTAGAAAAGTTTTCCCTAATGCCTTCAGTGAAGTGAGCCCTCCCTCTACACTGTAATTCAGACTGACTTTGCAAACAACTTAAGTGTGAAATTTCACAGAGCCTCTGAAGAAAGCCTTTTGACACATTAAAACAGATTAGGAGAGACTATACAGGCCTTAGGGGGCCGGAGTAAAACTGTTAACTTTGCATTTCAAACCACAAGGGTGGGGGGATTTTTTAAGCAAGCTTGGGGATAACCCCTTAAGAGGAAGAAGTTCTGCATCTTTTCAGACTCATCTCAGACCTTGGATATTTTTCACTCAACTTTATCCTGAATACAAAGCGGATCCTCTCCACTGTTAGCTCCAATGTCCAATGGCATCGCTCTATTTCAGCAGCTTGCACTCTGAGCGCAGGAGAATTCACAGTCAACACTAAAGCGTTCCCCAATCTTCCTCCATTTTTAGTCACCTCCTGTCTGCGCAATCAGGCACAATAGTCACATTTAACAATCCATCAGCCTAGTGCAATTGAGGGTAGCAATTTGCTTCCTAAAATAGTTGGAGATAAGGCACATTAAATATGATTAAGCAATGTCTCTGAGGCACATGGCGAGACCTCTAGCTGTTTCAACTATCTCTCCGTTTGCAGATAAAGTGTGTTATACACACACTGTCTATCTTATATCGGCTTATTTTTTGGCTGCTTAAAGTGATAGCTGCATGACGACCCCCGTCTCTACAAGGGAATATTCCAACAGTTTCATCAACAACATATACTGTACATTAAAGCTTTATTACATTATAATTAGAAAAACTGCCACATTGACTGGTTTTATTCATCTCAAATAAATATATAGGATGTTTACTTTTCTTAAGCTTATTAAATATATTTTTTAACACGCACAACAAACACTAACACATTACAACAAAACAATTAAAGAGACATTTTAGGAAGGTGTATTTCGTAGGACTGTTAGCATTACTGTGAATTGTTAAGTACATTTGGCAGCATGCACAACTACAGTATCTGCAGATGCATTCCCATCCATCTGTGTGAATGTCCATTATTCATTTGTGCAAAAGATAAAGAAATTGGAAATGCTGGATATGTGAAAAGGTGAAATATAGTTTTCCATTCTATCGCTTTACAATGGCTCATTGTTTTTTTGTTTGTGATGTACTATACAGAAAATGAATACACACTTATAATACAGAGTGAGATATGAATACACAGGCACTCTTTTCAGTTTTACCACCAACACCATCAAGTTGAACATTAGGTCCATATTTTGAAATGTATATTCTTATGTAATCTGCAAAAAACTGGGTTTCAGAAAAGAAAGTATGTAATATTCCTAGTATGATGTAACAACATCATATAAAGTAGGGCGTGTTACTCACTGATGCAACTAAAACGTTTTTTTTCCCTGGGCTTCTGGGTGGAGAAGAGAAAAAGTCCCCGGGAGTCACCGATGGTGGCGTTTCCGCAGGGCTATTTCAACAGAAGAG